CACACACACACACACACACACAGACACACACAGACACACACACACACACAGACACACACACACACACACACACACAGACACACACAGACACACACAGACACACACACACACACACACCCCAGCATGGATGGGCTGTAGTTATGTACACATCTAGTCCTCCCCGACTTACACAACTCTCTTCTTCTTCCTGCCCAACAAACTCACCCTAAATCACTTACTCATTGGGGAAGAAAGCATTGATTATCCGATCTCCAAGCGGATTCACAGCAAGCTCTCCGATCTGTTGGAAATCTTCCCGGCTGGAAAAGAAAATGTGGAATTGTGTTTCCACCATGCATTGCAACCAGTGGAAGAAACATAAACTCAGGCCAAAAAAGGTCAACAGAAGTTTGGAACTGTGCTATGCCATACAGGGTGATGACAGCATGGAGTAAGAAAGATTTGAATTAGGAACAGAAGTAAGCCATTCAGCCCTTCAAGTCTCCCCACCTTTCAAGAAGATCATGGTTGATTTGACTGTGGATTCAAGCCCACTTTGCTGTTTGCCCATCCACCCAAATATTCACCTATCTCCTTAACCCTTTACTCTCTCAATCAAAAATCAATCTAACTCAGCCTTGAGTATATATAATGACTCAGCCTCTAGTGGTCCCTGGGAAAGAGAATTACAAAACCAAATGATTCTCTGAGAGAAGAAATTCCTCTGTCAACTTAAATGGGAGACACTTTTATTTAAACTGGGTCCCCTGTTCTTGATATCCCGACAAGGGGAATCATCTTCTCCACCCTGTGAAGCTCGCCAGCCCCAGCAGCTTTTATATTTCAATAAAATCGCTGCTCATTCTTCTAAACACAATGATTATAGGTCCAGCCTACTCAACCTTCAAATAAGACAATCCCCTCAATCCAGAATTCAACCTCATGAATGCTCTCCAAACTGCTTCCAATGCAGGTATATCCCTCCTTATGTAAGGACAAAGAACTGTGCAACACAGGAACAGGCCCTTTGACTGACCATGTCTGCACTGACCATGATGCCATTCTGAACTAATACCAACAGCCTACATATGGTCCATGTCCCTCTGTTCCCTGCCTGTCTATGTGTCTGTCTAAATGCCTCTTAAATATATCTGCTTCTACCACCTCCTTGGTAGTGCATTCGAGGCACCTACCATCCTCTGTGTAAAAGAAAACTTGCCTCATATCTCTTTTAAGCTTTCCCCCTCTTACCTTAAACCTATGGTCCCTGGTATTTGACATTTCCATTCTGGGAAAAAGATTTCAACTATCCACCCTATCCATGTATCTCATAATTTTACATATTTCTATCAGGTCGCTCCTCAGCCTCCAATACTCTGCGAAAACAATCCAAGTTTATCTAACCTCTCCTTCTCGCCAACACACTCCAATCCAGGCAACATCCTGGTAAACCTCGCCAAAGCCTCCATATCCTTCCTACAGTGTAGCAACCAGAACTGTGTACAATACTCCAAATATGCCTAATTAAAATTCTATACAACTACACCATGACTCACAAACTTCCATATTCAATGCCTCAACCGATGAAGGCAAGCATGCAATACGCCCTCTTAACAACCTTATTCACTTGTGTTGCCACTTTCAGGGAGCTATGGACTTATGCCAAGAGATCCCTCTGTATATCAATACTCCTAAGGGTCCTGCCATTTACCGTATACTTTCCTGTTGCATTGGACCTCCCAAAATGCATCACTCACCTGTCTGGATTAAACTTCATCTGCCATTTCTTTGCCCAACTTTCCAACTGATCTATATCCTGTCAGATAGTGCATGGAGACTGAGGGTGTTTTATGTTTTGATCTTTATCTTTATTCTTTCAAAACTGTTCATTGTGGATCATTGCTCAGCCTGCCTCCACACTGGGCATCCTCTATTCATGTCTTCTCAAGCTGCCAACCCCAAACTCTGATCCATCCGCACTACACTAAAATGGGAAGTTAGGGCAACCATTTTTAAAGGCCATGTCTGCAGAGTCAGGAATTCTCCCATCTCCCTGTCTACAATATGGGAATGAAAACTGGAGCCTAAGTTTATGTGACTCATGCACCTGGACACCCAGACCCCTCTGTGCCGAGGAGTTCAGCAGTCCTTCCCTATTTAAATAATAGTGTGCAAGTCCATTGCCCCGACCAAGTGGGCAAGCTCACAATCTCCTGCACAATGTTTAATCTGTCGACATTTTGCTTGTTGACTTAACCTTCTTTGCAAACTCATTTTCTCTTCACAACCCACTTTCCTACCAATCATTGTGTTCTCAGGAAACATTCAGTCCCTTCATCCAAGTCATTGATATAGGGCTTCCCCAATTCATATTCCATCCCCTTTGCAATTAAGACTGTTGTTCCATTCACCTTCCTGCAACACAAGGTGAACTAAGGTGGAGAGGGTCAGTGAAGATGAATGGTGCTAAGGCAGTACACAAAATGACTTTTTTTCCCAGGGCTGGTCTTGAGATTTTCGAAGGACACCTTTTGGACTTTTTTTTTGTTTATGTTTTGGTTTTCAGGGAGTCCTCTTTATTTTTAAAACTCTGTTTATTTGGTGATACAATCATGGACTGACGACACCTTCTGTATTTGTGCTAACAAAATGAAGTATTTGCACTCTCACAGATGCAGAATTAGAGGAATTAATCACAGGAAAGCATTAACTTTATGGACAACAAGTGCTAGCTTAGCCAGCAATGGCCACATCCCATGAATTATTTTTTTTAAATTCTTGGACACGACTGTATTTAAATTGTGTTATGGACCAGACCATCACCCTCAAATATATCAAGGAGACAGCCTAGACCTCAACTTTTATCTTATTTAAAGGCAAGTGTCAGGTGCTGTGTTCAGATGTAATTTGATTAGTTACACTACTCGGCTTTAAGCAAAACATACTTTATTCCTATCCTATAGATAAAATACAAACAAAACAAAGAGGAATTGGAATATATTTAATTTGATTGGAAAACATAACAGAATAATAGATTATTTAACTACTAAACAGCAACTGTTCCAATAAAGTAACATCCAATAAACACATCCTTGGCAAAGGCAAATTCAGTAACATATATTATCTCATATGCAATTCTCAGAGAAAACTCCAGCTTTTAGCTGTGACAGAGAGAGGAATAATAGCTTCTTTATCAAGCATTGAGACCCCAGCAACTACCGAAAGCAAAACTAAAACCCTGGTTCTGGGGGAGCCTAACTCCACCCATTCATGCTGCATCTGTTGTTCCAACTTTTTAAAAAATCCCAAGGTCTCATGAGCTGTTTACTTTATTGGCTTAGGGGAGACAGCTCAACACCTATGGCTCAAAACCTCTTCAACAAAAACCAGGACAATGTACACCTCTTAAAGCCATAATATCGTAGCAATTTACATAAGACAAGCATAAGTTAGCAACAAAATATTTTTTTCAACATAACTGACAGACGTTTCTACACGCAAAAGCCATCAATCTAAATACACCTTTCCCAAACTGAAGAGGTGACAGCTCAACCATTTCCATCACATATGCATAAAGCTGGAATATTTTATCAAGGCAGTTACTATCCTTTTTACTGCATTGCAGATATCAAATCCCAGATTTAAATTTAACAACTAGTAGTGTTCATTCCCAATCTGACATAGTTCTATCTCCATACAGTAGTCCCTGACCATATTCATATTCATTAGCAATTCACTAACAATTGCTGCATTTATTTGTAAGAAATTCACTCCCTCAGTGTTTTTACATTTTCCTGGTTCCAACTTAGCCGAGTATTTCTTTGTTGATAGGTTTCAAACTATCCTGTCTTGCTTGCAGCCTCCTCCTTCCACCCACTTGCCTATTCCTCTCTCCCCCCACTCTTGGTTTGCTGCTTCCCACTCTCCTGCCTTTGCAGTCTGTCTCTCTTTCCATCCCCACTGCAGGCTTTGCACAGCATCTACAGCCTTCCCTCTCCCCGCACCAGCCTCATTCTCCCTGTCTCAGCTGACAGAGTTCCTGACAAATGTTCCCTTGAAACTCATCACCGCCGGGAGGCTCACTTGCTGACTTTCCTGACTTCATTCCTACTTACTTATCCGGCTCCTCTAATCACAGGCTGTTTCTCTCCCGCTTTTACTGCTGATCCTCCAATCACAGGCCATTTCTCGGTCACAGTTTCTTTGTTTGCTTGTGAACCTATCAGCAGTGTGCATGGGTAAGAACCAGCCTGTTACTGGAAGAGCAGCTCCTCAGAGATTTTGTCCATTCAGGTCACTGGCAAGATTCCTTTCTGATTCATCATTTGTTTTTGATTAAGTTTTTCAGGGTGTTCCGGGGATTTCAGGGGCAAATTTGCCCACTGACTCCCAGTATTTTCATTGTTGTGCCAAGTTAGGGCAGATTTGGAGTGCTGTGTGCAGTTCTGGTTGCTCTATTATAGAAAGAATAGTACTGAACTAGAAAGCATGCAGGAAAGATTTACTAGGATGCTACCTGGACTGGAAGATTTGAGTTATCACGAGATGCTGGATAGGCTAGGATTTTTTTCCCTGGAACGTAGAAGACTGAGGGGTGACCTTATAGAGGTCTATAAAATCATGAAAGACATAGATAAAGTGGATATTCAACAGATTTTCCCCAGGTTAGAGGAGTCTAAAACTAGATGGTATAGGTTTAAGGCAAGAGGGGTGAGATATAAAAGTTTGCAGAGGGGAAACTTTTTCACACAGAGCGTGGTGAGTGTCTGGAACAGGCTGCCAGAGGTAGTGCTAGAGGCAAGTCATTTAAGAAACACCTGGACAGGTACACAGATGGGATAGGTATGGAGGGATATAGGCCAAATGCAGCCAAATGGGACTAGATTAATTGTGAAACCTGGGCAGCAAGGACAATTTGGGCCAAAGGGCCTGTTCTCATGCTGTAAACCTCTATGACTGTACTTGGGGGAATAGAGAGCCCTTGTTTTGAGTTTGAGACCAGCCTGAATTGATTCCCGTTCTTCAGCATCTCTCCCCTAATCTACATCCTGGTGAGCCACTAAAGCAACCTTCAAGATTCACCCACTCCATTGACCATTGATATTTATGCGCAGGTGGGGCCACTGGGTTTCCGTGGGGGTTAATTACCAGTTTTTCTTATACTCACCTCAAACTTCCCTTGTTACTTTTGTCCAACTCTTCAAATCGATCGTAGAGACGACAGATGTGAGCCTTAGTGACTGAAAGAGTGATTTATCATCAGTAAATGGTTCCAGAATCCTCTGATCCTTGTCAATGATTAAAAGCCTAGATTCCTTCCTGAAAGAACTAAAGCACGGTATCCAAAGACAATATGCAGTCGTACTGCTGCTTTCCAATTTAGTCCCAATTCGACTGAATCCCATGTGCAAAATTATATTCCAATGTATAAAACATCACTGTATTTTGTATAAAATTCTAGTGAAATACACCTCATCCCATTCCACAGAGCCTACGAATTAGAAGCAGGTGTCAGCTATTCTACTCTCTGAGCATGCTCCACTGTTTAATTACATCATGGCTGATCTGACCGTGGATTCAGCTCCAATATCTTGCAAACCCCAACAGTCTTCGACTCCTTTATAGATTACAAACCTGTCTAAATCAGCGCTGAATATATTCAGTGAGCTAGAACTCCAAACATCAACATTTCGCTATGAGAAGAAATTCATGCTTGGCCCTGCCTTAAATGGGGGACCTCTTATTTTGAAAGCCTACTTCTGGGCTTTGCCATGATGGGAAATGCACTCTCAGACTTTCTGTGGATCTTATATGCTTCTCATTCTTCTAAACCCCAATAGGTACGGATCCAACCTGCTCAACCCTCCAAACAGCATGTCACCTAGACCTACACCCTATCCCCATAACCCCACATTCCCCATGGCCAATCCACCTAGCCTCCACATCTTTGGACTGTGGAAGGAAACTGGGGCACCCAGAGGAAACCCACGCAGACACAGGAATTGAACCCAGGTCCCTGGCGCTGTGAGATAGCAGTGCCACCAAGCCACCATGCTGTCCCCTTTTATTCAGCCTCTTTCATTCCAGGAATGCCACTGGATCAGCTCTCTTCCCATTTTATAGAATGAGAATCATTTTAAACTTTTCTCAATTTGATGATCTCCCATTAGCTCCCAGTCAGCAATGTCCAATGGGCAACATTGGCTTCCACTCTGATACATCCAATTCTCTCCCATTTCCCTCTGATACAAGAAATGGGTTTCATTTGTGTAGTGCCTTCCACCACCTCACAATGGCTAAAAACACCTAGAACATAGAACAGTGCAGGCGCTTCAGCCCGCGATGTTGTGCCGAACTTTTACCCGAAACCTAAGGTCTATCTAACCTCCACCGCTACCTTATACTATCATCACCTGTCAGCCAATTGAGTACATTTTGAAGTGTAGTCACTGCAGTAATGTATGAAATATCACAATTATTCTGAGCACAGCAAGCTCCCTCAGATGACAATGTGATCATAACAAGCCACCTGATTTTGTTTTGGTGATGTTGGTTACATTAAGGATAGCTCCCTTTGAAGTAGTGGCCGGGAGACCATGCAGTTTAGTATCTCCTCCCAAAGAATCATAGCATCCCAACAGTGTGAAAGCAGGCCATCCAGCCTATCGAGTCCATACTGACCCTCCTACCCATCCCCATCCCCATAACTCTGCATTTCCCACAGCTAAACCACCCAGCCTGCACAATCCCTGCACACAATGGGCAATTTAACATGGCCAATCCACCAAGCCTGCACATCTTTGGACTGTGCAGGGAAACTGGAGCATCCAGAGGAAATCTGCATAGACAATGAGCAAACTCCACACAGACAGTCACCCGAGAGTGGAATCAAACCCATGTCCCTGGCGCTGTGAGGCAGCAGTGCTAACCACTGAGCCACCGTGCCACCCTTTAATGGTGTTGCCTTCTCTTGGAGCTGTACCAACTTGGATTGTATGTCACGTCTCTGGGGTGGGACTTGAATTCCTTGTCTTTCTGACTTAGAACCTAGACTCATTGAATCTAGATCAACGAATGGATCATGTTGCAGGGAATGACACAGCTCCAGCATTGCAAATACAGCCAGCCATGTATCGATGGATGAATCAGCAAAAAGTGGGTGACATTTCCCAGCCTGCACAGTCGGCTTTACAGACTCAGCGCAAGCTTGCTGGCCTCTGGGAACCTTTGATCCTCCAACACCCATACCCTGGGAAGTTTATGGCCCGTGAGTAAGCATCACGTCAAGTGCATAATTGCCCCAATATTGTTTCTGGATCATTGCGTTCCCTGCAGTGACATTAAAAAAAAGAAAGTTTAATCCACCAGCAATGCAAAGAACATATAACAGCACTTCAGGCGTTAGCGTGAGAGAATACAGTTCACGACAGTCAACCCCTACCTGAGCCTCAGCTTAATTACTATGGGGTGGGATCTTGCCATTCACAGATCTTGCCTTCCCTACACACTGTGGGCCAAAGTGCACACAAAATAGTGATCAACATTTGAGATAACAAGGTGTAGAGCTGGATGAACACAGCAGGCCAAGCAGCATCAGAGGAGCAGGAAGGCTGACGTTTCGGCCTAGAAGGGCTGTGTTCATCCAGCTCTACACCTTGTTATCTCAGATTCTCCAGCATCTGCAGTTCCTACTATCAGTGATCTCATTTCTCTTCCGATCCTAAATTACAGGATATCCTCCCATTCACACAATGTTCTTAAACTCAGCTCTGTAATGGAGGCACTGTCTCAGATCTAGTAGGCTGGAGACCAACCCCAGCAAGCTGGGCCACCATGGCGCATTGGTGGTGGACACTGGACCTTCAATGAATGGCCTGCCTTCCCCCATGGGGAGGGAGTGGGGACAGAAAGGATACCACTACTATCTGGGTTGGAGAAGAGCTGGGTCGAACCCTCCTGGTGGTGTCCCTTGACCAACATCACAAAAAATTAAATGGTGATCTGCTCATCGTTGCGTAGCTGCGTGTGGGATCTTGCTGTGTGTAAGTAGGCTATACAGTTGCCCACACGAGAACCCGTGACTGCGCTCCAGAATGTATTTCACCGACCGAATAACGCTTTTCGGACAATCTGAAAAAAGGGCGCCACCTAAATGCAAGTATTCCTTTATACCACCAGCCTCAGTCCTCGAGCCCACTTCCAGTTTAAAAACTCTTTCCTACGCCGCATATCTGACCACATTTGATCATTGTAAAAAACTAAAAACACTAGCCCAGTTAGTCTAAAAAAAAGCAGCTTCAAGCTTCCAAGAGACGGCTAGGAGGTTGGCAGGCAGAAGTACAACTTAAAGCAAGATCAAATATCTTCCCGCAGGCACTGGAGCGAGAGTGTGTTCAGTTTAAACCAGGTTTTGATTTTACAACAGGCGAGACCCAAACAGGCAAATTCTGCAGCTGAACAGACCACTACCACCTCACTACCACCCCGGTCACTCACAGCCCGTCTCCTGGATAATTCCTTGCAGATCCTCGATCTTGGACAGATGTGACGAATACGAACCCATTTTGCAGCCTTCAGTTCCCAAGTCAGCAATTTGTGCGATCGCGCTGCAGCCTGAACACAACTTTGTAACACATTGTAACACATGACTTCGTCCCTCCAGGGAGATTGACATTGCAGCTACCCAATGATAGCCGTCCTCAGCAGCTCAGAGAGGCAGCAACTGTTTACAGGGGAGTGGGGAGAGAGCTAGACGTGTAGGTGATAGAAAGACACCCTCGGCGCCCTGAATCGCGCAGTCACCCACAGAAATGTCAACACATCTTCAAACCAGGACTGGTTGCTTTACAGAGCTATCTGCTTCATTTGCAACTTTCTGGAGAAGGGTCCCGACCCGAAACGTCAGCTTTCCTGCTCCTTTGATGTTGCCTGGCCTGCTGTGTTGCTCTAGCTTCCACACTGTGTTATCTCTGACGCCAGCATCTGCAGTTCTTACTATCTTCATTTGCAATGTGCTTTCCCAGTGGTGCCCCCGGCTCTGTAACACACACTCTCTCTCTCAATATTGGCCAGTGTGAAAGCTGCAATTCTCTCACAGACGTGAGGAGAAAGCAAAGAGAGCAGGAACAAAAGCACAAATTGTTGGAGAAACTTCAGAACAGCTCAGAAGAAGGGTGACTGGACTCTGAATTTTAACTGCCTCTCCAGACCTGCTGAGTTTCTGTTTTTGTTTCTGATTTCCAACATCTGTACTCGAGGAGCGGGTTTCCGTTATCCCTTGGACTGTCAGTGTCAGGCAGTGCTGGGAGAGTGGATCGGAGGAGCAGTCAGGGTTCCTAATCCTTGACTCGGGATCACTCTGGTCCTGTCCCAGGGAAGAGGAAGGAGGTATCACAGGGCTGCTCCTGGCACAGATTCTGACCCGAGGACAGTGCCTCCCAACCCCTCCCCCCCTACCAACCCTGGGATCCTGATATAGCCCCTGTCCAGGTTCCGTGGTAGCCGAAGAGCTGCACCGCATTTCAGTGGCGGTGTTTCCGGACAGCCCTTTGTTGGGAGGGTGGGAGCAGAATTTCTGATGGAACAGACCCCCCCCCCCACCCTACCTTTTGGATCCGTACATTCAGGGGAAGGGAGTGAATGGGGAAAAAAGACTTTGATTTTATCCTTGATAACAAGGTGTGGAGCTGGATGAACACAGCAGGCCAAGCAGCATCAGAGGTGCAGGAAAGCTGACGTTTCGGGTCTGGACTCTTCTTCAGAAATCATTTTATCCTTGTAATGATTTTATCCTTCACGTTTGGCAAATCGCGGACACCCAGGACCACTTTACCGAAACTTCAAATACTTTTGAAGTGTCCTACCGTAGGACATGAGGCGCACAGCAAGATCCCACTATCCCTGCGCCTATACACTCAGCCTGTGGGGTGAGGTGGGGTGGATGCAGCGACCCTGGTACTTTTCAAGCGTTAACCCCCGCACAACGGACCCCATTGCCCCGACGCGGACACAGGAGGAAGTGAATAACCACAAATTGCAACTTTGGAACTCGTGCCTTCACCGAAAGATACAATGTTTCACAGAATGCAACAACACCCTGTATTTCCAGGGAGCCCGCGTGGCAGAAGGTTAATTTCTTCATTGAGCCGTAAACAAAACAAGGCTCCGGAGACAGCCAAGAGTTAGTGAGGAGAAGGTTTGAGGGGGACAGCGCGGGGCTGAGACAGTGAGCTCCAGCTCAGGAGCTGGGACCAAACAGGAACAATCTGAGTCGGAATCTCCTACCTCCACACCCTGGACATCAGGGTTATCTATAAGGACAGAGCTGCCTGAGAGACAAGAAATAAAAGGCAAGTCCCTCCCAGTCCCCCACCAGAATTTACAGGACAGCAATCGTACACAGCAAGATCCCAAAAAGCATCAAGATGCCAAATGACAACCTGATGGGTTTTCTCCCCATCCCCGCCGTTTGGGGAGAATAATGTTAGATGTAACAATCAGGAAAACTCTCAGCTCTAGGTCCTTTCCCAGGATGTGGGCATCATTACCGTTCCAAATTGTCCAGAGGGCAGTTTCGAGTCAAACATGTTTTCTGTGGGTCACATGTAATCCAAACCAGCTTTCCTTCCCTAAAGGGTGTTACTAACGCAGATGGGTGTTATGGTCACTAGCATTGAAGACTAGCTTTTGATTGTCTTTATACTGTTCAGCCACCATGGTAGGATTTGAACAAACATCCCCAAAATATTTAACTGAACCTCTGGATTACTGGTCCGTTGACAATATCAGTTCACTACCATCTTTCCTGCTCTTCATCCTGCAGTGTTTTTTGAATGTTAAACTTAGTTCAATATTGACAAAAGAGTAGCTCCTCTGTCAGTGCAGCACACGCTCTTGTACCAGCCTGTAGTATGGCATTCGATGGCTGATTACTGAAATCCCCACTATCAACATTCTGCGGGTTACCATTGACCAAAACTGCACTGGACAGTCCATATAAATACAGTGATTACACGAGTAGGTCAGAGACTAGGAATGTGACAAGAAGTAATTCACCTCCTGTCTGCCCAAACCCTGTCCATCAGGGTACTGTGATAGAGTACTCCCCACTTGCCTGGATGAGTTCAGCTCCAAAAACACACAAGAAGCTTGACACCATCCAGGAAAAAGCAGCCCATTTAATTGACATCATATCCATCACCTCCAGCATTCACTCCATGACTGAACACAGTAGCGGCAGTGTGTACGACTGCAGTAAATTACCAGGCCTCCGCCAACAGCATGTTGCAAACACATACCAACTTCCATCTAGAAAGACAAGGGCAGCAGATACATGGGAACACCACCATCTGCAAGTTCCCCATTAGCCACTCACCATCCTGACTTGGAAATATATCACCGCTCCTTTGGTGTCACTGGGTCAAAATCCTGGAATTCCTTCCCTAATGGCATTATGGATCAACCTATAGCATGGGGACTGCAGCAGTTCAAGAAGGCAGCTCACCACCACCTTCTCAACGGCAGCTGGGGATGGGCAATAAATGCAAGGCTAGCCAGTGATGTCCACGTCCCACAAAAGAACCAAATGTTTCCTTAGATCAGTGGGAAGTGGTGTTTCCTGTGAGCAAGAAGGTTATTAGTTCAAATCCCACTTGAACCTTGTCACACATTGTGCAGTGACAAGTGAATGCTGCCTTTCAGAAGTGACCCTGTCAGGTGTCTTGAGTAGAATATAAAGGATCTTATTATCCTTTGGAGAAGAGATGGGGGTGTTCTGGAGGTGATATTTATAAGTTAGTGATAAATATTTATCCCTCAACCAACATTAGGAAGCACCGAATATCTGATCGTTGTCATTTTTTGGTAGTGGGATCTCGCTGTGCATGAATCGGATGCTGTGTTTACTACACCACAACAATGAAGGCACACCCAAAGGTGCCAAAGAAATCCAAACTCTTCTTTTAACACCTCAAGTCTTTACCTTTGGCTTTGACACAGGCTGCCTGTTTTAAAGATGACATTCTCACAGTCTGCCCACAACCTGGCTGTTGGATCATGATAGCTCTCCCACTGGGACAAAGACACTCCCTGTTTCAAACTCTTCAGTCCAACAACATGGGAAATGAACCCCTGGCAGCAAAGAACATGCAGGGCTATGTGGAGAAGGCCAGAGTGTGACACTGGACGAGTAAATTCTGCACAGCCATGGCAGGTTGAATGGCCTCTTTCTGTGCTGGAACCCTTCTATAACTCAATGCAGTAGCAGATAACTTTCTCCCCAATTAATGCAAAGAGAAATTAGAAATTAGAGATTGGATTCACAATCAGGAATAAACAAGAAACATCAGACCCAATTACAAGAAGTCAATTTGAAGAATTTCCTTGGTGCAAACTCCAGGTGCTCCCTTGCTCACAGGAATCAGTCTGGTAAACCTTTGTTGTACTCCATCCTTAACCAGAACATCCTTTCTCAAAAAAAAGGTTGCTATGCATGCCATGTGTTCGCCATTTTAACTGCTGGCACATGGTGCAGGTGTGAGATTGATACAGCGCACTGCCGTAGTTCCAACCCCTTGTGATGCAAGCTGACTTGTTCTGTGACTGTGTTAATTGGTACAAAAAGGCAAGGCAGGACAAGGTATAGATGGGTGCAAGCTTCCAGGTAGGTGTTAAGTGAGTGAGAGCATAGAAAATAAGTGAGCAGCCCTGAAATGCAGCCTGGACCATTTCCTGGATGAGGTGCCTGTCCCTGTATAGAGTGTCCTTCAGCATTCTTTTGATGTGAGTTGATGGTGTATCCTGCAATGCGAGTCTATGCTTCCAGAGCACTCTACTAGTGTATCAGAGAAGGTACCATGATGCTCTGGAATGGTTGGCGAATTCCAGATGCCAATGTCCACGGATGAGGGGTACATGTACCTGGTGCACGTGGATCGTGCAATGTAGGGCCTGTTAGAACTGGATTTGCTATGGTGTGGTTTCCACGTCTCAATCTCAAGTTGGTTTGGTGAGTTTGGTAAAATAGAAAGCTGAATATTTATGAGCCAAGGTGAACTGTCATCAAGGCATTTAAAAAATAATAATCCCATTTAATTGGCAACCAAACACTGCCTAGTGAGAAATTTTATCACTTTGCCTTTGAAAAACGTAAAAAAAAATCGAGATAGACCTCATTGGACTTCTTGTTTGATTCTGCAACAAGGTGCTCAGACCCCTGTTAAATTCCAGCATCAGTGACTGAGAGGTTAGTCCTTGAACCACCATAAACTGTGGGCAGTTGCTGCCATCTGGTGGCTATTCAAGATACTGCGCTGTTCTATCTTTCTAGCGACATGGCCAAGAGTTAGCCCCCTGGCCCATGGCAACACAGCTGTTTCCATGTCAACCTACAATATCAGGAAAAGCCAAACCGCAGCCCCAGAAACAACCCGATGCATCCAGATGAAAACTTCAAGAACTGCAGATGCTGTAAGTCAGGAACAAAAACAAGCTGCTGGAAAAGTTCAGCAGATCTGGCAGCATCTGTGAAGAAAAATCATGGTTAATGTTTTGGGTCTGGTAGCCCTTCCTCAGAACCAGATGAATCCAAAACTGTCCTGAATAAAAGTCTTTGATACACAAAGAAAGCAAAGTTTATAATGTTCAGATTCCTTCAATAGGAGGGATACCGATTACAGGAACCTTTAATGTAAGCTTTATAGGCACAGGGTTTATTCCAGGTGAGAGAACAGTCAGACCCTATCAGCTTCTTTCACAATTTCTGGATAGATTGTCAAATTGTTATAAATTGATCAGAAATTAGAAAGAAACGTGTTTTTGACAGACAGGCAGATGATTGGTTGGTATGGCAAGGAAGTCCCAGCAGATCTTAAGGTCTCATTGAAATCAAGTGGGATAGGTCCATGTTTATGAGTGCCCTTATCTACAATAAAATACGTCCTTCAATCATG